GAGGGTTAAGGTGAAAGAAGAGTTCTCTAATGGTTATATACATAGAGAGATAGATATTAGACATCAAAAGGAAAGTTTTAAATCTTTTGATTATTAATTAATTGTTCAGTTGATTTCATTAAGTTTGAAGCCTTTTTTACTTTTAGTTCATTTAGTTACATTCTAGAAGGAAAAATTGGACTATTATATTCAGTATCGTTTTGGTAGATAAACTGCAGCTACTGATGCTTTGGTAGGAATTTCTTGAGATTGCCATTGTCATTTGAGGCGGCCTAATGTATTCATGACCAAGCTGATTTCGTACACTTGTAGGAAAACAGGAAACGGATTTGGTCCTCCCTCCTCCACTTGAACCGCGTATTCTTCATTTACAGTATTTGTGAGGATTTGCACTGGCTAATGGCAACATGTGGTTGGATGGTATACCATGTTGAAATGGTTTCTTTTTTCTTTTTTCCTTTTTTGTGGGTGTATGTATTTTAATATATATTTTTTAATCTTAATTATACAATGAGAGGCAATCATCTCTCATCCTACTTTACTTACATGTCATGCGATTTGAACTTATGATTTTTTATTTTCAGTAGAAAAAAATGATCACTGAGTTACTTAAATCGTTGGTTTCAATATTTCATTAATATAATAATATTCACGTATTGAAAGTTAAATATTTAAATAAAAAAAATAAAATAACATATTTTATGAATTAAATTTATTGTCTTATTATATACAAATTTGATCAAACTAGTAATTATAAATTAATTGTTTTATTTTAAAAAACAATATTTCATAATAATTGCTTAATTTATTATTATTATTAAACTATAAATAAGAGTTATATAACCATACATCCTATAAATAGAATATATCTTTTTGCTCAACTAAGTATATTCCTCTACATTCTTCTACCTTCTTACCTTACTTTATCTTTTAAATATTTTTAAGTAAAAAAATGATGTTTTGAATTAAGTGACTCTATAAATAGTATAAATTCATAAAATATTATTATAAAACTATAGCATTCTGAGCGTAACATATTATGTATATCTTTACCACACCGATTGTTCTACTCTTTATAAAAGCGTGTATCATCTTAAAGTAAAGAAAATTTTTACACATATTTTAATGATATTTTTTTATCAATATTTTTTAATAAGTTCATTAATTATTATTTTTATTTAATTTTATGATCAAGACACAAAATTAATATGATGTGGAGATGAACAAGAATGTTCGAGGAACAATACCATATACACAACAAAATGAGGGTCACAAGGTTGGATGTTCAAATCTCACCTGTATTTTGTAAGAATTCCCCCCTTCCCCTCAATTTTCCCATGTTAAAAAAAAAACTTTTTTTTTTTGAGGGTTTAATGACTTATGTATCATCAATGCGAGCTGGCATAATACTTATCTTATCATACCCTAGAGAATTCAAAAAAGGCATATTGCTTTATTGCATAGTAGGTAACGGCCAATCAAAGAAAGCACATGGAATAGACAACAACATGTATTAGTATTACAATATAAAAATAAAATTAAAAATAAAAAAAAAAAAAAAAAAAAAAAAAAAAAAAAAAAAACAAATCAAGGATAAAAATTGAGCATCCATTGTTGATATCCTAAAATTATGGATCTTCCATTATTTTATTAACTGTGATGCTAAGTTTAATTGTTTATTTTTGGCAGATAAAATTTCATTGGTTGATAATAAATTAAAAGAATTTTTTATTCTAAAAATTAGGTAAAGTAGAGAAAAGGGTGAATTTTAAAAGAAAAAAAAAAGGCAAAACCATAAGTTAAGCCCCTGAACTAACCCCAGAATCACTATTAAGCCCTTAAACTTTAATTGATGCAGTTAAACCCTTGAACTCTGGGATCAAAGCAATTAAGCCCTTCTTCTTAAGCAATTTATTTTAAAAATTAAAGTCTAATTGCTTAATAGCGTAAGAAGAAGGGCTTAATTGCTTTGATCTCAGAGTTCAAGGGCTTAACTGCATCAATTAAAGTTTAGGGGCTTAATTGCATAAGAAGAAGGGCTTAATTGCTTTGATCCCAGAGTTCAAGGGCTTAACTGCATCAATTAAAGTTTAGGGGCTTAATAGGAAGGGCTTAATTGCTTTGATCCCAGAGTTCAAGGGCTTAACTGCATCAATTAAAGTATAGGGGCTCAATAGTGACTCTGGGATTAGTTCATGGGCTTAACTTATGGTTTTGCCAAAAAAAAAAAAGAAAAACCGCGTGGAAGCTGCGGGAAAGAACCAGATGGTTCGCTTGGGCCATTATATATCAACCCCCCTTCTCTCTCTCTCTCCTACCGTGACATTTTAGACAGTACTCATCGTCTTCCACTCGATTTTCTCTCTTCCCAAACACTCACTTTCCGTCGAAGAGAAAATGGCCGATCAGCTCACCGATGACCAGATCTCCGAATTCAAGGAGGCTTTCAGCCTCTTTGACAAGGACGGCGATGGTCTCTATTCTCTTCTCTATCTCTCTGTTGTATTCTTTCTTTTTTCTTTCGCTTGACTGAGGTCTAATTTACAGATCTGGATGCGTTTTCGTTTCTTTTGATGCTTCTGTTTGTGTAATACTAGCTTCTTTTTATGGTATCGTTTTCTTTTGTGGATGTAATTATGTTGCCGATCTGGTTTTCTTGTTGGTTACTGTTCGTGATCTCGTTCAATCCGTTGTTTGATTTCAATTTTGGATGATTTTGATTGTTTCAGCTGTTGATTTTTCGCCTTTATACTTGTTTATTTCATGCTTGTTGACCTTTCCTGAGCTTATTGATATCTTCATTTTCTTGCGGTAGGGTTAGATCTTTCTTGATGGTCTCGTAATTGCATAGATCATTATGCTTAAGCTGTTATGTTTGTTGTTATTAGTTTCTATTAGATGTGGTTTTAGATTTACAGAGTTTATTTGTATTTGTTGCTTATTTTAATGCAGTAAAGCTTTTTAATTGTCGAATTCTGTCTTGGGATTCCTATTAAATGTCTGTATTTTGATGTAACCTCTTAACGGGTGATGGTAGAAGTCCCTTGATTAGTCTTTTGTGTGTTTTGCGAGATGAAGACAAGCAAATCAGTATGTCATGTAGTTAAGAACCTGTTTGGCAAAATGTTTGCAGGTTTGCTAGAAAAGCTAAGAAGTATCCTTGGATGATTTGTCTGTAATATGCGATTAGATTGGGATGGTGTTGTACTCTTGTGATGCTATATGTGTCTGTTATGTAGAGGTCCTAAAGAATTGTCTGCATGATAATGGTGGGCCCTTTGTTGTTTTATTTCTTGTCCTGAATTTAGTATGAAGCAGTTAGTACTGAGTTATGGGACTTTTGATAACACGAGTTTTGTTCACATTTATTGTTTGGCCATTCTGTTTCTTTGTTTGTATTTCTTTGTTCTGGTTCTATTCCTATCTTTGTATTAGATTTCTTGTTATTCATGTCTAGATATGGAAAAAGTGTTGGAAATGCATATCAGCCTTACTTTAACTGAAAGGTTGCTTTGGATATACATGCTAGTGCTTGTAGTAGGTTGATTTTAATTAACAGGTAGACTAGGAAGATTCATTGTTGTTCAACATAAAGTCTTCTATTATGCACTTGGGTTGGAAAGTGCAGATGCAATCATTTTGGTATTTATATTTTCTTGATATTACTTCAGGTTGCATTACAACCAAGGAGCTGGGGACTGTGATGAGATCACTGGGGCAGAACCCAACTGAAGCAGAGCTTCAGGATATGATTAATGAGGTTGATGCTGATGGTAACGGGACCATTGATTTCCCAGAGTTCCTTAACCTGATGGCTCGGAAAATGAAGGACACTGACTCTGAGGAAGAGCTTAAGGAGGCTTTCAGAGTTTTTGACAAGGACCAGAATGGCTTCATCTCTGCTGCTGAGCTGCGCCATGTGATGACAAACCTGGGCGAGAAGCTGACAGATGAAGAAGTAGATGAGATGATCCGTGAGGCTGATGTTGATGGTGATGGTCAGATCAACTATGAGGAGTTCGTCAAAGTCATGATGGCCAAGTAAGGACATCATCAATCATAACCAAGCTCCCAAAATGCATAAAATCAAAGAGGTGCAGGGCAGATAAGTTTGCTAAGATTTCTATTTCTCATTAGGACATCTTTGTTTTGCTGGTATTAGCGTCTGTTGGGTGGTTATCTGTTTTCGTGTCTGCATTATTTTGGGGACTATTCCTCACTATCCAACTTGTCTGCCCTGGTTTTTGTAGTAGTTATTTGGATTCGTAGTGTCTGTCTTCCATGTTTGGTATTCTGCTTCTATTCTTGGTACTATGAACCTAGAACAGTTGGGAAAGCCAATGGATTCTCTTATGATATGTCAAGACTTCAGTATTCTTTTTCCCTGTGATCAGTTTTCATTCCTGATGTTAAACCTTGCTTCCTTTAACCTTTACCTTCAAGAAAATGCATTTTGTTTGTGTTTCAACTCATTGCCCCAAACACCCATCTTCTCTAACGTGATGAGCCTTACCCTCTACGCCGTCAAGAGAATTAAAGATCATATAGGTCATGAAAATGATGGTAACAAATGCCCTCTAAAATATTAATCTTATTGAGATGGAATATCGGGGAAGATTCTTGACATTAAAGCTGCCTTTTGGTCCCCTAAGGTTTTGCATAAAATAATGGAAATTTCACCCGCAATGAACTTTCCTTCTGTATTCAACTTAGACAAGGTGCTTTCGAGCATCAGTGTTATGAGACAATAATTCAAAGTCATATTCTTATCTCCCAATGTCTCTCTCTCTACTTTTTCGCCTTCCAAGTTGTGTTTTGGTATTGACCTTAGAAAAATCTTTTCATGAAATTTCTCGGCAAATTACCAGGGACCCATCTAAAGACCAA